TGCTGTTTATTTAAATATTTCACTAACAATAAAAGTAATGGATGTTGTAATTCATGAAAAAGTAGTCTGGATTTAATATTTGATTTCAAAATTATGACTTACAGAGCAGCGTTTTAATACTAAATGATTTAGTTGAATGCAATAATGAGCATGTGAATTTATAAACGAGTTTTATGACGTCACTTCGTCTAATAAAATAACAAGCTATTGTTGCACTAATATGCTACAAATATAATATGATACAAAGCTAATTTTTCACTTCAACTGATTTTACATATTTAATATTTAAACCAGAAAATCTCTGTGAGTACCTAAGAAACTTTTTTTTGCCAGCTTGTTGAATCTCTTACGAGCTGCAAGTCTCAGGTTGTCTTTTAAATTACGCGAATTGGTTCTGCGTGCTGTATTCATTTCCTTAAATAAAATCTTTTCCATTTAGTCAATATTTCTTTGAATCCTTTCCTTCACTACTGTTAATCGCCTTTTGATTCGAATGAATTTGAAGTCGTCGTGGCCTAACGGATTAGACGTCTGATGCATTTGTGTTGAGTGATGCACCGGTGCTCGAATCCCAGGCGGGTACCAATTTATTTTATTGCTTAGATGGGTGGACGAGCTCACCCACCTGGTGTTAAGTGGTTACCGGAGCCCATAGATATCTATCTACAACGTAATTGCGCCACCCACCTTGAGTTATAAGTTCTAAGGTCTCAGTATAGTTACAATGGCTGTCCCACCCTTCAAACCGAAAGGCATTACTGCTTCACGACAGAAATAGGCAGGACGGTGGTACCTACCCGTGCGGACTCACAAGAGGTCCTACCACCAGTATAGTTTAACTGCATATCTTTACTTTGTGATATCGCAGTAATTGATTTTCCTTTTTAACCCTACGTGATTTTAATATCATCAGAATACTTTACAAATACTTTTCTTTAGAATACTTACAAATTTAACAAAATAATAATATGTATTATTAAAGATAAAACAAAAACTATTGGTCAGATCTTGATAAATGGGACCACATGTAAAGCATCAGATTTCTAATATATATTTATATACTATGAAATTTTAATGAATTATAATGAAATTAAATTATTTATACCTAGTCAGGTCATAAATTCCGTCACATGTTTAATGTAAAATAATTGAAACAAGTTTATTCATTATGTAACCATTCATATACCAAAATGAACTTGACAAAACTTAGATTCTTATGACACTAAAGTTTATTCAGAATGACCTCCGTGATTTTGAATACAGGCCTTCAATCTGCGCGGCCAGTCGTCTATCGCAGCACGAACGTGGTCCATGTCAATATCGGCGGCTGCCTTAATCAAGGATGTCTCGAGTGACTCCAAATTGGGATGAGGCTTTGAGCACGCCTTTTTCTCCAAGTGTTGCCATATCTTGTAATCTAACGGATTCAAATCTGGACTGGAGGAGGGCCAGTCTTCGTGCCGGATGAAGTCGATTTCACGCGCCGCCAGCCAGTCTTGTGTGCTCTTCGCTCTATGAGCTGGCGCCGAATCTTGTTGGAATACCCAGTGCCTGTTATTGAACATGGTATGAGAAACAGGTTCCACAAGGTTCGTCAGGACTGTATTTTGATACACAACTGCATTCGTTTTTACACCTTTCTCACAAAAATGTACCTCTGTTAAGCCCCAATAAGAAACTCCCAACCATACCATGAGCGAGGATGGAAAATGACCTCGTTGGACACGCGGAATACGGTTGCTCGCTTCTTCACTACTGTGTGCGTACACCTTATCATTTTGTTTGTTGTAGCTCTCTTCTACGGTAAAAATTTTTTCATCCGAAAAAAGAATTTCCCGATATTTTTTTCCCGCGTACCGCTTCAACAAAGCGCGGCATCTCTTCAGTCTCAGGTCCATTAGACGAGCATTCAAACGATGTCCTGTTTTTCTTCGATATGCCCGAAGCCCTAAGTCTTCATTTAACACCCTTTTCACCGTGGTTCTGCTTAACCCCATCTGAAGGGTCAACAGTTTCTGCTTACGTTTGGGATTTCTTTGAATTCGCGCCTTCACAGCTTTTATCACTGCTGGAGTCCTAACAGACCGAGGACGACCACTTCTTGACCTGTCATCTACACTAGAGTCTTCATTGTATCGTTTGATGGTACGATAAACGAATCTTGGTTATATTCAAAATTTTCAGTATGTTAAAAATTTGAATTGGCGCGTAACCGCAACGATGCAACGCAATAACTGCAACACGGTCTTCTTTAAGCATCCACTGCATATTAAAAAATGAGTAAAATTCTAAAAGTATACATTTTTATTTTCATGAACAATTCGAAATTCGAATTCAATAAACTTTTTTGTGGCCAGCATTCTAAAAGAAAAGTTTTTACTGTGTGACAATACTTATGACCTGACTAGGTATAGTCAATTTTTTTAAAGTCTATACTTTAACTATGGTCAAGCTGTATGTATTTTATGTAGTCGATATAACCTAAAGGTTAGGACGACGAACGTTCTCATATTGACCTTGTCGATTGACTCAGATTGTCCAAATTCCGCAAGCAGGTACCAATTTATAAGGTTCGCGAATGACCTCTTATTATTACCTCAATAGGTACACGACCTCACAGCCTGCCTGGTTTTTATCACAACATGAATATTACCACTCACATTGGACGAGAGGTCTGTGTATGAATTTTATTGTTTAAGGGTTGTCTCATCCTTCAAACCGACAGTCAGACTCACTTAATATCATGTTACTCGTGATCTTGTTCACCTAATCAGCACAAAAAATAAAAACTTTGTAAGCTTTTAGGTGTTTCGTTGGTTTTTATTTTGTATAGTTTCAAATTAAGGAAAAGCTTAAAAATAATATACCTTTTGCTATTATATAAATAAAGCAATAATGTCACTTTTTCTGTTTTAACAATCCTTGTAAATTTAACCTATTCTATAAAATAAAAAAAAAGTATTAACTGAATTTACCCATAGCTAAAGGTTGCAATATTTCAGATTTTTTTAATGTATGACGTAGTTTTCACTTGAAGAATATATTATTTTTGGTTATGTTTGGTATTTTTTCTCAATTATGCAAATCTTCTGATAAACTGTCATACATTGCTTTAAATTTCGGATACTGTGCCTTCAGATTCAAAGACAGGATGCTTCTTGGTGAAAATGCATAGAATAGTGATACCCTCCTGATGATTTTCACACGAATAAATTGACGAAGGGGCGTACTTCTAAAAGTAGAGAGACAAAATATGTCTGCAATATCTAATATATAAAATTCTCGTGTCACAATGTTCGTTCCCATACTCCTCCGAAACCGCTTGACCGATTCTCATGAAATTTTTTATGCATATTCAGTAAGCCTGAGAATCGGCTACTATCTATTTTTGATACCCCTAAGTGATAAGGGTTGTCCACTCCTAACATATTTTTTTTTATTTGGACTTTTTTTTTTGTTATAATGAGGTATTATGTGGTTGAATAAGGTTTTGTTATTTTTATTATATATTCCCTCATCGTTCACAGCACTACATACCTCTTTCACTCATTTACCACATCCTTACACACTTACAATAAGTTAGTTTTTTTTTCTACACTAGAAATTCCCTAGAAATCTTATATATGGCAAAACAATGTTTGCCGGGTCAGCTAGTAAGATATAAAAAAATGTACGCCTCGTGAATACTATGAAATGACTCTTACATTGAGAGGATTTTCTCAGATAGCATATTCAACATTTCTCACCAGACAAAGGTTAGGTTACAAAGACATTTTTCAGGAAAATCTTCCCACATTGTATTCAGAGTCCACTTGACATAGGACGTACATGAAAAGCGACGCAAATCAAAAATGTTCGCGACAATATATCACGAGGAAATGTAAATAAAAACATTAATACAAATAGTGTAATGCATTTTTGATATATTATAACTAATGAAATCAAATCTTATTGGCATTAAATTATGACTCACTTTTGTTTGAATGATGTAACAAGCACATGATTGTGGACTTTATAGCCAGGAATCTTAGGCGGTCCTTATAAGAAAGTTGCTCGGTAGTATTTGTCTCGTTTTTTTGTATATATTTGTTTATTTGTATATTTATTGGCGAATAACACTGAGATTTCGTTTCGTACCTTTACAAGTATCGCTAACTCTGAAAGATTCAAGCCAGTGAAAAATCTAAGTTTGATATTAACGAAATCTTTTTTATTACATAGCTTTGTGAAGGATTTCACGCCCCATATGCTTAGGTGGTTAACTGAGTACATAATCGCCATAAATTGATGTAAACACATCGCGAACAGGTACAAGTCCAAATGAATTGTTAAAATTCTTTGTGTTCTCCCCCGTTCAGATCAAATCAGTATATTTGTAACATTTGGTATTCGATTTCTCGATGTTGGCACATGTTCTTGTTACGTACATCCACTAGTGGATCTGGGAAAAAAGTTCTAGTTTTCCAAAATTTTGTAAATTTAACATGTCGTGTCTCCTAATATTTAGCTTATATTCTTCATATTACTCGGATTCAGAATTTTTACTGCGTATTAATTAATAGAACAGTTTCCGGTAGATTGAAAAAACACAGATTGATGCAATACATACAATAAAGATGTTGAAATGAATGTCATTTTTTCTGGATAAAAAAGGACGAATGCCGATCTACCTGTTCTTTAGCGGTTAGCCAGGCTCCCGCTGCTATAGAACTCAACTTGAGACATAAGATAGAAGTCTCTATCATACTGAAGAGTGTACAGTTATCTTTTAATTGTTTCATGTTATAAATGGCGGGTGAAAACAACTTTTTTTATTGCCCTTGTAGGCAGACGAGCATACGGCCCACTTGATGGTGAATGGTTACCGTCGTCGATGGACTTCAGCAATGCTAGGGGCAGAGCCAAGCCGCTGCTTCTCAAGTTGTTGTATTTGTTGATAACTTTCAGTTCCCGGCAATATGACTAAAACTAAACAAAGCACATGCGAAACAAAACAAAAATGATATTTATTAACATTTATTTACAATACATTATTTAACAGCACACAATCAAATTAGGTATCTAATGTTCGTTTCTATTTAAATATAAATGGTGAATACTTTTTTTTTGATCTGAAACTCTATTGGTTATATTGCTCTGATAAGAAGTTCTGTAGTTTCAACTACTGACATAATTTTCCAAATCATCCAAGATATAATTCTTAGTGGGAACATTGCTGAAGAACTTCTGAGTAAAGTTGAAAACGAAATTCATAGCTTTCTCTACGAATTGCTTTCCGACCATATCCATTAAAATACGCCAGTTTTCGTTCATAAGCTTGACGATGGAAGCACCTAGAACAAAAAAATTATGCAAATTAGCTTAGAAGGAAAATATGCAGGTGTTTAAGAGTAGTAATGTGACGTAAGTAACTCGACAAGTAGTGATTACTCACTGTCAAAAAGATGTTTTACAGACTATTATAATTTACCTAACAACAAATATATCTAAAACTAGCGACCCGCCCTCGCTTCGCTTCGGAAACATTAAAACACACATGAAACCAAAAAAAATAAAATAATTTTTTTTTTTAAAAGTAGCCTATGTTCATCAGGGACAATGTCGGCTTCTAATGGAAAAAGAATTTTTCAAATCGGTCCAGTAGTTTCGGAGCCTATTCGAAACAAACAAACAAACAAATCTTTCCTCTTTATAATATTAGTATAGATCACAAAACTGAGCTCAGCAAAACAGCTCTGTCTTAATCCGTAAAAATAAACTTGTCTTCTTATAACACACACAAATTAGTGACTTGGCTGCGTTACGAATATTCTAACCATAAAACAATTATTTTAACTGTTATTGTATTATAATTTAAAAGTTAAAATCAATAGTACTCACTTTGTTCTTTATTTCCGACGTAAAGGTTATCAGCTGCAAATACCATTTTACCTAAAACATCGTACGTGTATTTCATCTTGTCAATGCTGCTTTTAATGAATAAATCATCTCCTCGTTTTTCTACGGTGAAATCGAAATCAAATGCAATTTTGAACTTTTCTGGAAAAAAAATAAGATTCATTAAATTATAATTATTTCAAAGTTTGAAATTGGCTCATGTATAAAATTTCATGTTTTATATCGAAGTAAGTAAAGTAAGCTTTATCAATAAATTTCATAATAGAGAATAATTTGTTTTGTACTCTTCGTTTATGCTGACTGAATGAGTATGTAACGTCAAAGATTAATTTAACGTATGGTTAAACACAAAAACCACAAGTGTACAATATGCATAGTATATCGGCACTGCACTTTGGACCTTCATTTTTTTATTCGTATTTTAAGTATTCGTGTTAGCAATAATTACCGGAGAAGTACTTTATGAACGGTTTAGTTAGTTGATCATTAAAAATATAAATGTTTGAGTTTTTGCGAATCTTTGTGATGTGAAGCTAGATATCAAAAAACAACTAACTAGTTTGTATAAAAACTGTCATATTGACATTGCTTTGTATTTGTATTATATTCTTCAATAGAAACACAGTTTTTCATTTCACTCGTGGAGCGCATTTTGTCTATAAATGCTTACAAACCTATTTTTGCTTTTCCATTTCCATCACCATGGATATTATCTCCCCCTAAAAAGTTTTTAATGAGGGGACTCCCTGAGTAAACTGAGTAATGTCCTTTGATAGTTATATCACAGAGTAGCTCGATACTTGCATGTAGATCGTCGAAATTGGCTCTAAAAGAAAATAAAACAACAATAAAATCAAGAATTGTTTAAACTCTAGATCTGAAAAGTGCAACACTAGGTAGGCAGCGGCTTGGCTCTGCCCGTGGCATTGCTGAAGTCCATGGGCGACGGTAACCACTCACCATCAGGTGGGCCGTATGCTCGTCTGCCTAAAAGGGCAATAAAAAAAAAAAAAAAACACTATGTCTTAATAAAATGTCAATTAGGACCATCATTATATTTTTCAACCAAAAATTAATTAGCAACAGATGATGTTTGCATATTTTGTTCATTTAATTTAGAACAGAATTCCATAGATCTTTTAGTTGATATCTTTTCATTACTAGGAATCAAGAAATTTAAAAAAAGGTTGACATGGAGTAAGTTAGGGTACGACTTAAATTCCGCAGTAACAATGAAATACATTTTTATTGTACTTACTCTGACAATTTAGATTACAAACTGAATTTATTTTGTATTTTTATATTGTAATCAATAGATTTTTTATTATAATACATAGATTGGCAGCCTTACGTATGGATTGTTTGGTATAACGATTACTGAAACTACAGATACCATAGGCTCTCTAGGTGATTCAATTCTTTTATTTATAATTGCATGATTCTTTCGACCAGACGTAAATATAATGAGCAATAATTAAACTAGTTGTAATAGTGTAGAAAATAAATTAAATCATAATTTATAATCAGTGACGGTTCAAAACTTTAATCCCTTTCGTGTAATGTTTAACAAAAAAACAATACTATAGGTCATCAATAGCTAATTGTTAGTATTTGCCTAATGATCGGAATTAAAGAATATGTTCAATATTTTTAATTGATAACATGGCCGTTTGTTAATAGATATAAAAAAATGTTATAAGAAAACCGACAGTATAAACGGAAAATGTTACCTAACGGTCTAGTCTACCTATTTATTTAGGTTATACAGGTCACATGTCACATAAAATATTAGATTGATATTTAATATTTTGAAAATACTTACTCAAATTTATTGACTGTGCAGTCTTTAACTCCCTTAGCTACTCCATCAACGAGGGTAATGTTCACTAGGTCGAGTATAGCAACATTGAAGCCTTTAAGTTGTATCGGATCTATTTGTGGTATATCAAGTTCAGGTATACCGGTTTTAGAGATCGACTTTAATACTGATTGGAGCAACTTTTTTTGGCAAACTGCATCGCTTTTGCCGCATTTTTGTAAGGTGTCAACTAAAAATTAAAAAGTCGTTAATAATTTATTGTAACTACTGTATGGAGTAAGGTTTTGCAATATTCCATTATAAGTATGTCATAGACTTTGCAGAAATAAAATACCAAACTAAATGACAACCAACAAATGGTTAAATCCATTTAAATTCTACATTTATCATAAAGGATTACCATTATTTTTAACTTAAAAATTTTCATTAAATAATGACACAGTTTGAATCCATTAAATATAAGAACATATTAAAATCGCATTAACTGTTCCAATGCACAAAAATTTACCATATTTATATGTAATATATTTAAACCAATAAAATTATAATTTAACTAAAATTTTGAATAAAGTTTGATCTTTACTCACCATAAGCCGAAGCGCAAAAACAAATGGCAAACGCGCATAAAGTAAACAATATTTTGAAACCAACCATTTTCCCTGCTAATATGAACGAAATTTGGCACCAATGTAAAGCCGTGAATCAAGAGGCCAGCTTATATATAACTACCACAAAAAAAATCAAACACATGCGAAAAATACTACAAAAAAAACTGAAACCGGTTTTGTGATAGACGTCATGGCTATATTATTTTATTGTTGTTGTAAAAAATTAAATTGTGTTATGGTAAAATAAAAGACAAAACCATGTTAGAAGGAAACCTATGGATTTCTAGTAATTATTTCGTTTTATATGTTGCTAAGATGGCACTGCGGTTTCAAACATATTATTTTTGTGGTAGAATGACCTTTTTTTTTTTACTTAACCTGAACACCTAACTAGTAAACCTAAACAATAATCATGTAAACCTTTTTCATTGCTAGATTTCGGGATGATGAGGCGTTACTACACGAATGCAATTCGCATTTACGTTGTGGATGTCTATGGGCTCCAGTAACCACTTAACACCAGGTGGGCTGTGAGCTCGTCCACCCATCTAAGCAATAAAAAATAAAAAAGAATATTATCGATGAGACGTGTCTTGAGACATGTCTAAGTCACGGTTGAATAGTGCAACGGCTTTTCCACCCTTTAAGCGCGCAGTCACTGGATTATTTTCATTACACCATGTTGTTCCTTCATCGTTAAAGTTATTGGTGAAGGTATTTACCTCTTATTGCTTACTTGGTGTTCCAGACTTTTATTCTTCAGGTGTTTTCTCAGAATCTCGTGTGATCATGACAAACTAGGGTATGTTCCGGGATAATACTAACAAGTAGCACTAACAAATTTAGTATTAATCTTGATGTTGTATTACAAAATAGCTTGGGCGACTTCCAAATTTTGGGCAGCTTTTAATTGTTTTACACTATATTGCACCAGGGCTTACTTCACTAGTAATGGGTTACTTTGACCTTTACTACTACTATTACTTCTACTAAGTCTAGTATTTAACTTCTTAATTGAAAAACAACCGAACATATCCGCAGTAGTGAGCTAGTGAATGAAATATGCGCAAACACAAATATCTACAAGGATTTTATTGAACTGTGGCATTTGATTTATTTCAATCAACTTTATTGCAATTCAGTATAATGCTAAGGAAACCAGGAATTAATTGAATAGTCCGAAATAATATCCGGAACTTTATACGATACGGAACTTTGACATCAGCAGAAATTATTACTTATCTCTTTAATTCAAAGCGTTCATCATAGAAATTTTTAGACAACAATAATAGATATAGCGCTCGCTCCTGGCCTTTTCATTTTTCATTATTATTATTATTATTTTTTATTGTATTTTTTGACTTGTTTTTTCCTTTATAGTTTGTTTCGCCGGTTCTTCTCAGGACTGTGGCTTTTTTTGGAACCGGTGGTAGAGTTAACATTGTTATTTGTATTTTGACATTCAACAAGTGTGTCATGCTGACATCTAAGTTGAAATAAATGATTTTGAATTTGAATTTGATAGGTTGCGAAGCTACTTCATTCATTAATTATTTAATTTAGTGCTTTTACTACTGTTTCATGAAACAAAGGCAACCACTATTTATTAATTTTAAAACGTATAATACTATTAAAGAGTTAATAGGACTGTGAAATTGCTCCTTTACGATATCGTATATACATATATGTATATAAATTTAACGACATAAATGCTGGTAATAAAAATTTACACCTGGATGAGCAATTTGTTTTTTTTTGGGTTCTCAGGCCTTTTTTTTGTGTTCTCAGGCCTTTTTTGGGTTCTCAGACCTTTATTTGGGTCTGAAGATGGCGGGCGGGGCATGTCGGAGTCGAACCGACTAAAAACCTCCTGTGAAGCTCAAAAACCAACGTCCGAACCTCGCATGAGACAGAACTCATAATATAACAAACTACATGTTGTTACAGGTATTTTAGTGCAGAGACGCTTGATAGAAAATAGGTGCATTTTGCAAGATTTTAGTTTTCGATGAAAAATAAACAAAGTTGTAGAGGATTTACACTTTTCATCATATTCGGGATTTACAAAAAGTCTGAACTTTAGCTACATCATCGTATTTATTGATGGAAACATAGAAATATAGATTTAATTTTCCTCTTTTAATTTTAATTATTTTCATTTAAATCCTGGATTTTTATTGCAGCTACGGAACGCTTCACTCTTTTTGGACCCTGTCAGTTTTGATTTCTAAAGAAAAAATTCAAAGCGTAGTCATCATGTATCTAAAAACTGTAATCGGTCAATTATTACCAACATACCCTAACCGGCAAAAACTGTTCTAATCACATTTTTTTCAAGGCCGTTGTTCTGGTCTTATGCTAATAATAACGACGTCATACAATTCTAATCTGTAGCAAAATCTACACAAACAAATTAATATATCATAAATATAAAATTTACTTCATTACATTTTTTAAATGTACTTTAAATATATAAAATAAAGTGAATATATAAATTTATAAAATAAAAAATATTATAATAATACAAAAATAAAATCAACTTTATTTGATACGTCATAAGCAATGAATTAATTGAATATTACTTTTTAATATTATTAAGTATGAAGTATCCAAATATAATGGCAAGAATTATTTAGACTCGTTAGAATTAATAATAATTAATTAATAATAGGAAGTTAGGATTTAAGCAAATGAACGTAAATAACATATTAAATGTTGAGTCATGAGCGAATCGGTCTAGCAATTTAATTTTTTTCGTCTTGTCTTGTATTCTTGATACTGCGCAATGAAACCGAGGCTTTTGTGTCGTGACAGACAGCGTCTGATAGCAATTCTGTTGCTGTGATTTGGACTTCGACCCTATATCTCATCGTGGCTTTGGCAACTGCTATTGAGAGATCGGCCGTTTATAATTTAATCAGAAAATAGATAATTATTTCAAAAATAAAATTAAAGTGAAGTAAGGGTTCGCCAATCGAGGCGAATTTTTTGTCTGTTTAATCTTTCAAGGTAAACGTATAACAAGACTGACTTCTTAACCGTATCGTCGTCGTGGCCTAAAGGATAAGACGTCCAGTGCATTCGCATCTAGAGATGCACCGAAGTTCGAATCCCGCCGGCGGGCTTCAATTTTTCTAATGAAATACGTACCTAACAAATGTTCACGATTGACTTCCACGGTGAAAGAATAACAACGTGTAATAAAAAACAAACCCGCAAAATTATAACTTGCCTGATTACTGGTGGTAGGACCTCTTGTGAGTCCGCACGGGTAGGTATCACCGCCCTGCCTATTTCTGCCGTGAAGCAGTAATGCGTTTCGGTTTGAAGGGTGAGGCAGCCCATGCAACTATACTGAGATCTTAGAAATCTTATCTCAAGGTGGGTGGCGACATTTACTTTGTAGATGTCTATGGGCTCCGGTAACCACTTAACACCAGGTGGGCCGTCAGCTCGTCCACCCATCTAAGAGCCTAAATTTATTTCCCTGTCTTTGAATATTTTTCAGGAAGAGGTCAAAACAATCTAAAATATGCCTTTGTCATTATAGCAATGAGCTTTCAAATTTTCAGCTTTAATATCCCCGAAAGTCCAGATTTTGATCTGAAGAATCCGTCAGTCAAGAATTTTGCATAACCTGCGTAACGAATGTCTGCGTTAAATCGTTATTTTAGATTTATGTATACAGGAACAATAGGCTACAAAAGTTAAGACAAATTAACAAAACAAGCGGGGGTGAGGTTGAACCGCACGGCGCGGCGGAGGAGCGACCCTCGCGCCCTGATCAGAATGGCGAAATCAACATCTCTGAAGAAGACACCAATCCGACAATTGTGAGTACACCTGCTTACTATGTAGTATTTAGTACGAGAAGTGGGAAGTGGAAAGTTATGAGACATTAAAAACAAAATACCTATAATACAATTCTGCATCTATTTAATTCATCGAGATAAAATGTGGTGTCGTGGGACACCAGGTAGGAACGAAGTTCCTTCGGCTAATGTAGAATCGACACAATTTGCAAAAAAAGAAATGGTGCTCAATTTTATGTAGGTTTTCTTGGTTTTTCTCTTGAATTTTGCTCGTTTTTTTATTTAAATACGGGAAAGTATTTAGGAAATTCAGTATTTTAGGAAATAATAAATTACGTAAAATAAAAAAATAGTAATTCAAATTATCAATTAAAATAACAAAATATATCTCTTTATTTTTGGTTGACAACATAAAATTACATAGAAATAGAAATAATTACTAAATAGAGAGAGAAGGGATTAGAGAACGAAAAGAATGAAGGAGAAAGAGAAAGGTATTATACACTACTCGCTTGTGTATGCGACTGTCGCGCCTGCGCACGTCTCATTTAACGGTTTTATTCCACGCACTTTTTTCCACGGATTTTTTCATACAGTTTTACTATCACATTTTTTTCAGTTTGGTCGCGCAGCAAAATCCCGATCCCCTCCAAGCCTGCCGTAAGGAACTTCGTTCCAAAAATGGAAATGAATACAAATTCTGTCTCTTGTATCTTCATAATTATATTAAATTTATATCGCTAAAAAACATGCTTTAATGTATTTACTTCTTTCTAATAATTAAGCGTTCATCTGGTTCTTTGTATACGTCAAAAAAAAAAATATATCAAGGCATACAGTGAATATTATTATATTATAAAGCTATCCGGTTTATTTTTTTCAGACAATGAACGTCGTTAGTTTTTATTATAAAGTAAAAAAATTGGCACATGATAAATAATAATTAAAATTCCGACAACGTTTTTTTAGACAGTCTTATGATAAAGAACAAAATAAAAATCATATGTTTGTGTTCGCGAAAATTGATAGATTGATAGTTTCTTTGTGCAAATGAATTGAGTGTGAGTTCTAAATTTCGCATCTATTACTCTTTTTATTACTTTTATCATTATTTTGTACGCCTTCACAAGCAGTGAACATGATAGAACGACTCGACAAAATATTAGAGAGGTTTGAGGATAGAGAATAACTTACTCGAAGCAATGAGAAGACTGAATTCTTCTTGGCTTAACCATTATCAAACTTTTATTCTACTAAAACTCGAGGGGTTATTATCCTCCTCGCGTCGTTTTCCTCATTACTGAGGGTCGAGACTCCCCCGCTGCATCAGTTTCTCCCATACGACTTCCCTCCATCTGCCGCGATCCTTTGCTTCATGAAGGGCATTATGGAAATTGATGCTCAGAGAAGATCGTACTTGGTCCGACCATCTCGTGGGACTGCGTCCTCTGGGACGTTTGCCATCTACCTTTCCNTCAGTTTCTCCCATACGACTTCCCTCCATCTGCCGCGATCCTTTGCTTCATGAAGGGCATTATGGAAATTGATGCTCAGAGAAGATCGTACTT